AGTGATGTGTGTTTAAAGGTCCAGTGTGTAACATTTAGGAGGATCTATTGGAAGAAATGGAGTATAATATTCATAGATATGTTTTTTTCATTAGTGTATAATCACCTAAATATAGGAATCGTAGGAGACGTTTTTATGTACAGACGTGGTGGAGTCCGCCATGTTTCTACAGTGGCCCAGAACAAACAAACCAAACACTGGCTCTAGATAGGGAAGTTTCCTACAGACTGGATCTTTAACGTATGTTGTACAAACACAAAAAAAAAATCAGTTAGAAGTTGTAATCAGAACTTTTACAACTGTAATTGTTTAGACTTGTAAATATAAAAAATAGAAGGTTTTCCTAAATTACCTAAAACAGAATAAATTAACATATTAAGCTGGATTATTTGGTGTAAATTCTTTTTATATTTTGTACTTTTTACTTGCTGGATGTCCCATTGTGTAACTAAGCCCTTTATCTGTTTCCTCAGTTCAACAAAGTATCACTCTGAGCTCCGATGTGTCCTTGTAAGCGTTGGAAACGGTGAGCAGAGCTCTTTTATCAGTCCGTGCTTCAAATTCTGTTGCTGATTTTAGATAAAGGTCACATCCAACTTTGTGTTTTATTGTGCCTTCTGTTAACAGAGCCATCACCAACTGCAACCCCAGAAACTCCACCACCATCAAGTACGTCAACCATTCCCTCTTTAACTTGTGTGTTTGTTCAGTAGTAATAAAAGCAGTTTTTCTTCTGGCCTGTGTTGTAATGTTGAGTCACTGTGTTTCTAGTCGTCGTAGGTCTGAGAGTGAAGTTTTCTGTTCCCTTTCCGGTGTCTGATGACTACATCAGTAATATTGTCATACAACAGGTCAGTCTGCTTCTTGTCTAATATCAGATATGTTTAATATGCATTAGTTGCTACAAGGAATGTGTGATAGGGTTTTCACAAGTGCAGACTTTCTTTTTACTTATGTAAGGTATTTGCTGAGTCACAAAAAGAGTCACACCAGCATTTAATGTGGTGACATTTGGCAGCAAAATATATTAATTTCAATAGAATCATCATTGAATTTGCATTGGATAAACGACCATCTGCACTAAAGTTTAAGTTTACTGAATTTTGACACAATTTTTTTCCTCTGTCGGAGTATAAGTGCTCCACCAAAGAGGAAGGAGTTTGCACACAGTTATGAGAAATATACACTGCAAAAAAGGAATCTAAAGAAAGTAAAACAATAAATAAATAAGCGTTGTTTCAGATAAATATGTCTTATTTTTTATCTGAAAAGAATATCTGGCATTAGAAAAGTAATCTGGTTTTAAGAAAATGTATCTAACTTTGTCTTAATAAGAAATTTTAGCTAATATTGAGCTCAGATTTATCCTGTAACAAGTTCCAAACATGGTTTGCATAATATCCCAGCAGAGGAACAAGATTATTTTAAGAGTAAGACCACTTGCACAACTTCTCAGTTTAAGTGTTTATGTGGTGGTTTAACAATTGTTATTTACAGGTGATTATACACAAATGAAAACAAACCTATGAATATTATATTTAATTTCTGCCAACAGATCCTCCAAAATGTGGACTGGACCTTTAAATTACTTTTAATACGTAATAATAGTTAGATAATTGTCGTAGTTCATAGTTAACAGTTCACATTCTTGCTCGTCCATTACGTTTCACATACTATCTGATAACAGTGATCCTATCTGTTTCACTGTGTTTTGTCTTCCAGTTTAAAGATGAACTCACGAGACTAGGCCTCCCAACAGACATCGCTCTGAGCTTCGTGAAGAGAGTGTAACTGGAAGTATCAACCACAGCGCCACTTGCTGGTTCAACTTCATCATCTAAGGACTCCTGCAGGGAAATTTTGTTGAGCTTTTCTTACTGTATTTTTAAAAGAAATAGCATTTTAATCATGTTTGATCATCAAGCTTCATTTTTTATATATATATTATATTTGGGGAAATGGGCATAAACAGGAGTCACAAGTTTTTGGATTTACAGCCCGTGTGAGTGGAACCCTATTATTTAAGGCACATTTGCAAATGAGTCCTGTTGAAAATTTTTGGTGGCAACATATTATCACAGTCAATAGAAACATTCTTCACCCAGGAAACAAGGTTAATTCAGTAGCTTTTCTGGAACTTCTAATCATATCAAATCATCTTATGTTCATTAAAGTATGTAATTGGTCATGTTCAGTTTTTTTTTGTAAACCTTTACCACTGTTATTGTTGGTGTATACAGTGATGATTTGGGTTATATAATCATGTGTCATACACCTTTGAGTCTTTGTTTTCTAACTTTATTACCTCAGATATCTAGGTAAAGGCTTTTTATGTTGACTAGATGACGAAAAGTAGCTGGTTTCGGGGACGGCTGCTGTGTCTCAAGCTCCTCCCCACATTGGCTTTTTTTACTCATTTTTTATTGTATTCAAGCTTTATTTAACTGTAATATTCCCATTGCGATTCAAGATCTCTTTTATAAGGGAGTCCTGGCCAAGATAATTCAGATAAAAGAAAAAACTGTCTTAAACACTTGCCCGTGATCGAAGGTTACAACTACTAATAGAGACAGTTTGGAATCAGTAGAGAACATAAATAAGAAGGCGGCTCGTGTAATATGGCCTTATAGAGAGAAAAACATACCAGTGCTCCATTCTACGACTCTATAAGGAAGACAACTTACTCATACAATGATGTACATTTCTTGTTTCATTCCTATATTTTAATTTCTGGACCATTTTATGTCTTAAATTCCCATTTTTACCTGACTTTCTTTAAATAAAGTGCCTGAAATGAGCCAGTTCTCACTGATTTTCATCCACATGAGTACCCTTACTTCTTGATGTGTACTGCCACCTCCTGGTGAGTGTCAGGTACACAACCCCTAAACACTTGCATAACACTTAATTACCTGGACACGAATTTCTGCCTAAAATAAATAATTTAAAAAGTTTATTACATTGTGCATATAATATAGTGCAAATTATTATCAAAAGTAATAAATACATCCATTCTTTAATTACAGTTGCATGCATTATTAATAAAATATTGATATATATATATTTTTTAAATCTTACGCTGTCCGAGCCCAACCCAAACCCGACCTTTAGCTGTAGGTAAGTAAGGTAAGTAAGAACAAACTCTTGGAAAAAGACGAAAGGAGCCAGTGAAGTTTAAAAGACATCTGTTTTACTTCCAGTTGAACGAGCCAGAGCAGCATGTCATTAGGAATAATACACAGGTCACGGTTTCAAGATAATAACAATAAATAAAACAACGGTTGTAAACTTGTTCATCATGAAGCCACATGATGTTAAAACTCTTTGTTGGTTTTTGTTCAACAGGGCGTGAAACTAACTTTGTTTGCGCCGACCAGCCGACAAATACAGTGTTTTACCAGCTGAAGAAATTCCTCAGGGGCCAAAGTGTGCAAAATATGACAAAAAAAATTATTATTTATTGACCTCGGTGGTTAAATTCACTTTAACTACCAGCCTCTTTATACACTTGAGCTTTCTCTCAGTTTTATATTTAAAACAATATTTCAAAAAGCTGTATATTACTTCATTTATACATTATCTCTTGTTTGCCTATAGAAGTCAATAAAGTTTCAGGTTTTTGAATTGCCAAACAGGCTATAGTCTACTTATCAGCCCTGTGAACCCAGAAATGTTGCGTACCCCAAAGTATGGGTTCCCCAGCATTTAGAAACTGACAGATGCTAACTTGCAGATGTGGGACAATTAGCATAATTAGCATTTATAATCATTTAGATGACAATATTTCAGCAACTGTTTGTCCGATTTGGACAATATTGGAGTCTTTATGGGGGTTATTAAGGATGATGGATCAAATTCTGACATTTACAAAATACAAAATTGCACTTTGAACTTGAAGTGACCTTATTTCAACTTCCATTGGGGCTGATTTTGATCAATTTTGAGTTGTTTTTGAGGTTATTTATATGCTTAATACTAAATAATAATAAATTGACGTTCATTTTACAATCAAGAAAGCTCAATGTGATTGGTGTAAATGTTCAGATGTAACATTTCTGTTATGTATTATGTATATAAACAAAACTCAACAAAAGTTGAAATATGGCCTCTTTTGGTTTGAAAATGTAACTCCAATATTGTCCAAAGCAGCCAAGCAGTTGTTGAAATATTGTCCATATAGGTGATTATCCAAATGAATGCTAGTTATGCAAATTTTGTGTAAGAAGCATCCAGCTGTTTCTAAATGCTGGAGACCCCAAACTCTACATTTCTAACATAAAACTTTGGGGTACTCAACATTTCCGTGTTTACAATCGGGCTCTATTGGCTGGCACATAAACTCCTATAGAAGAAATGTTGAAGTGTTTAGCTGGTGGCTAAGTGTTAATTTCAGGCCCTCTTTGTTTGTACACACATTCCTTCCCGCTGTCAAGTAAAACAGCAAACGGGGAGCACTTGTTTCAATTCAGCTGACAACGGGCGAGAGTCAGTTTTGATAGATTTTAACTGGTGGTAAGGAGGCAACCGCACCAACGTGGCTGAACCGAAACAAGCACTCCCTCAACATTGATACAAAAAAAAATAAATAACAAAAAAAAAAAACAGTCAAACAAGCAAGCCAGTACCCTGATAATTAACAAACACCTGGACAAAAACATTCACAGTTTGAAATATTTTTTAGATGTTTTTTTTTTTAGGTGCACTTGATTTAAGATTCAGAGTGATGTGGGAGTCGGATTTTACAGAAAATGCATGAGAACAAAATTTTCCCTCCATCACTCTGTTTAAATTTTGACCAAAAATGTTAAAGTGAAGTCGTAAGTCGTGCACAAAACATTTCAAAACTTGTTTAGTTTTACCCAGAAAACAACAACAACAACAAAAATAGATTCAGTAACTTTCCCTTCATGAGAATTGCACATCATCGATATAAAATATGAACCTTCATATGTACAGCTAACGACAACCAAACCTGGGCGAGGATGTACTGGAAGTGTACCTGCCTGTACAGGAAGTGTTTGGTAGAACGGTTACCAGTGGTTACGAGAAACGCCAGTTCTTCCATCGAGCTCCCGCCCCCTTCTGCAGTCAAATTCAAACACTATAAGGCATCTTTTAGCTTGGAGGACGGGTGCTTCATTGCCATCACAGGGTTTAAGTCCTTAAGTCAAGGAAAAGTGCATTCACACTATGAGCTAAATTAGTAGAGATGTTCTGATACCGTTTTTACCTTCCTGAAACCGATTACAATACCTAAACTTTGTGTATCAGCCGAGTACCGATCCAAGTCCGTTACATAAAAGAAAGAAAGACACATGTATGTCTTTGTTGTATCTTCTGGTTCAGTTTAAACTCTTAAACAATTACAGAGAATGAATGCCACAGGACTTTTTATCTAGTTCTTACTAAAGTTACACCATCGGAAATCAGCTTTGCTGCTCTAAAACAGTTGTTTTTAGTGTCCAGCCAATAAGAGTCAGAGTAGGGTGGGTCATGACCATCCTGGGGAAAAAAAGGCAAACTGGCGAGTCTCATTTAGGGCTTTACATGGTACCGGATCGGTGCACAGACTCACATACTTGCTGATAGCTGCATTTTAGGCTGTATCAGAGGTATTTCCGATACTTGTTTCAGAACAACTCTATAAATTAGTAACAATATCACCAAAAGCCAAATGACTGGCCCATAAATAGACAAACTATTTAGCTCATAACCTTGTCTAAACAATTTTTTTTGGTCATTTCCAAACGCTATCGCCAAGGGAGCTTTGTAAAATCTGTAAGAACATTTTATAGGTTACATTATCATTTTTTCTTGGTAGTAAAGGCTCTATTGCAGTTAAGGAACATGAAACTCTGACTTTCTCTGACTCTTTGGAGAGTAACTTATGATTTAACATTCAAACCCTCATTTGAAGTTTGGGTAAATGCGTATTAAGCACCGTGCCTCGTCCTCCAGCTGGGGACATTCGTAAAATGTCACTTTGGTCTATTGCTGCTTTTTCCGTAAACTCTGGAGCCTGGAGATGATTAGTTTAGCTTCACATTAAGACTGGAAAGGGAGGTTAACAGCCCAAAGATAGCCTGGCGCCGTCTAAAGGTAAGTAAATCTGTGTACAAGCACCTCTAAAAGCTCTTTAATTAACATCTTATTTGTTTAAAAAATTACTTCCTGGAGTTTGCTGGCTGTCTGGCAACTGATCCTCCCATTTTTAGTTATTTAAAAAAAAAAAATGATGATATAGCATCCAAATCATATTACTGTATATTAAAAGGGCCGATGGTCTTATCCAAAATATAACCAGGTAAATATCTTGTATTTTGCCCGTACTGGTTAGCTCTACATTTAGCTAACCCATCAAAGCAATTAAGTAATATAGCAAAAGTTAAAAAACAAAGCATTGGTAATATATGTTTTGTGTTTAAACTGTACAAAAAAACCTGTAACAGAGCACCACCAGAGCCTGATGTACTGAACAACTGAAGAGTGAAATATTAGCTCACAGTGTGAATGCAGAATTACAAACCCTTTAACATTAATGCTCTCATAACCACTGCTAACATCTCTCCGAGTTCTCTTAACAGACTTTGAAGATAAACTTGATTTAGCTGTTAAACACGTTTTAAAATAGAGTTTGATAAAGACTCAATATCAGTAAATATTAGTTTGTAACTGGATTTTCTAGAAACATGTTAAAGTGTTATAATAAAAAAGGCAGATCGCTCTGTGCGATTTAAGTCACATGATTCAAGAAAAAGGGCTTTTCAGAGCAAACAAGTGGCAGTTGTTCTTGTTTTGACAGTAACATCTGAGGACACTAAGGAATAAAAATGGATAGTTCATTAAATCCACTGAAGCACTTGTAATACTGTTCCCTTGTGTATCTGAAACTTGTGTTCAGCCCACGTCAAACACAGAATTAGAAGAATAACTATATAAACATACATACAACAAGGGGTGAAGTTGCCTTTGAGTCTGCGATTTCTTTGCCACTTTTCAGTTTATGTGACAAAAACCAAAACGTACGGAGCATTTGACTTCAACCACTTTTCGATAAAAACAGTTGGTAACACTGGTTCTGCCACTTCTGTTTACACTTGTCCAACTAAAGGAAAGCCAAAAGGTAAGTTAGAGATGTCACTACTGGTATCAAGGACATACCATTGTTCCAACAGCCCATTATTCCAAAACCCTAATTGTCTGAAACAAAATCTCATCGGACTGAAAATCCATTTGTTAGACATCCCCATAGTCCAAAAACAAACACGTTGTTCTGAAAATACACTCTAATAACTAACCTAAACCTAAGCAAGTCGTTTTGGTGCCTAAACCTAACTGAACTTTCACAACGGTAACCACACGTTCACTATAGTTACCATTATGACAAATCTCACCTGACCTCTGCCCTGTTTACAGTGCAATCGTTTGGAAACGCCACCCTCACCATCTCCATATAAACTGCCAAATACGCATTTGTTGTGAAAAACACGACTATTATGTTTTCAGCCAACTAGATGAATTTGGATGACAAAATGATCTGTTTTCTTCTGTTTCTCTTCATGTTTATACTCTCGTCTGTGGTGTTGAGTTGCAAACTTACACCGCCACCTGCTGGCCTGGCATGCATACTACCAATTGTTTTTGCATATCTGTGTGCACCTGCATCGTTTTAACAATGAAACTTGTTTAAAGGAAAAACTTGTAGCGTAAACAAGGCCTTCGTCTTCCAGCATGTCCAAATACACTGAGACGTTAAGGGCAATAAACTAGTTAAAAGGACAAATTAGCTCTCGATCCAATGGGACATTTTTCGGGACTATT